AAATTTTTACTAAATATTTCGGTAAACTGACCTATATACATTGTTTCGGACTTAACTTTTAGCACCAAACTTGATTTAGTTGAAACTTAATTCATTTGAAATTGAACTCTTAGACCTTTCTTTTGACACTAAGATTAAAAGATTTGGACACTAATTACCTACCCTAACTTCTATTTCAATTAATCCTACAAATTCTACAAAATAGGAACCATAACTTCTAAACTTTTGATAGTAAACTACTTATAAGTCTCGGTTATAAATTCTGATTTATGCACAACTTATTTTGTTAGAAGCTAGATTTATTGTTCTTTCTTTTGATACTTGGTTTGATAGATTTAGAGTCAAAATGTTTGCTCAGTTATCTATTGAAGCTGACCCTACGAATTCCGCAAAACAGAGATTTTATTTTCTGACCTTTGGTTACCAAATTATTTGTAACTCTCTGTTAGAAATTTCAATTGATACAAAATTAATTTTATTTGAAAGTAGATTAAAATATGTTTCCAATGATATCCTTTTTGACTAAATTGGAGCAAAATTTGATAGTTTAAATTATTTGTTAAATGTGCCTATCTAATTCTTCCAGAATCAAACTTTGGTCGATTTTACCTATTTTTGTTTTATTTCTTTTGAAAATTGGTTTCATCTAGTGTTGTAACATCCCCGATTTTTAAAAACTTTTTAGATGCTTGTTTGTAAATATGAGGATTAGCTAATAAATTTTTGTATTAAATAATTTTATATTAGAAGTTTATTGCTTGGGACCTAAATGTGAATCTTAGAAAATTGATATGATTTGTCAAAAATTCACATTAAGTTTTAAAAAAAATGGAGGACATATGTCACTAGCTAACCTAAGTATGGTGCTACCTATGCTTATTCTATGGATGACACATAAGCCTCTTTCATGCATGCTTGCCACCTTGCAACCCTTGTGTTAGCCAAACCCAAGTAATTAGATGAGAAATTAAAGGAAAACTTAACAAAGGAGGGATACTTGACGCAACCAACTGTTAGGATCAAGAGCACTAAGTGGTGGGGGGGGGGGGGGGGGGTTGAATTAGTATAGCAGAAAACTTTCGTCAGTTCAAAAAGACTTCGTACGAAAACCATTTCGGAAAGATCTTGAGAGCAAACGAAAGTATAGTTGATGTAAAGCAACGGAGGCAGTTTGTAGTTAAGATAAAGAGCAGAATGTAAATACAAACCAAGATTTAGAGTGGTTCGGTCAATCTTGACCTACATCCACTTTTGGCTTCCTCCTCCGACGAGGTCACCGAAGTCCACTAGAGGCCTTCCTTTAATAGGCGAAGGCCAACCACCCTTTTACATCTTTTCTCCTTTTGATGAGCTTAGGAGACAACCTTTATAAGTTTTCACTCCTCTCTTGAATGATCAAGACTTAGAAAAAAGAGGGAGAGGAACTCTAGCCTTTTACAATACTTTTAAGCTCTCAAATACTCAGAATAAAAGCAAGCTTTCGGTTCCCTTTCATGCAAGAAATGATGGGGTTTATATAGGTCCCAATCAATTTGAATTCGGAGCTCAAAAGTATCCATTCCCAGATTTCCGGGGTCCTGACGGCACCACCACTATAACTGGGTGGTACTACCGCCTATCATCTATCACTGAGCGGTACTGCCGCCTAATATCGCTCTGAAACTGAGCTTAGGTGGTACCACTGCCTGACAAGGGCGGTACCACCGCTGGTTGTAATAACTACCGATGGTACCACTGCCTAATAGGAGTGGTACTACCGCCCAGAACTCTTGGGAGACCGAATCTCCTGGGCGGTGACACCGCCGGCCAAGAATTCTGAGTCCGAATGGGCTGATCCATTCGGCCCAATTTGGGTCTATCAAGGGTCCAATTGGCCCCAAATTAAGTTAATGGGATTACCTCCCAATCCTAACTTAATCTATATGCTAACTATGATAATTAAGACATCAATACTGCAAATCGTGTTTCAGTGCGTCAATAGCTTCTTTCAGCGAGCTTTAGGCGAACTTCCGGCAAACATCTGACGAACCCTCGGTGATGCTCCGGCGGACTTCCGGCAAACTCTTGGACTTGTGACGATCCTCTTGGCGAGTTTCGATGAGCTTCTTTGGCAAGCTCTTGGACTTCTCGGATTGTTCTCATAGAACCTTCGATGACCGTCTGGACTTCCGACGGACTCTCGAACCCCCAACGTGGTCTTAGTCTTGACTTCGGCTTAACACCTACTGCATGTCTTACTGCCATCGTAGTTAATCCTGCACACTTATCTTAACATACGGATTAGATAACCAAATGATAATTGACTTTATCATCAAAATCTGAGATTCAACAATCTCCCCCTTTTTGATGATGACAATCAATTGATGACAGAGTTAACCTTAACTCCCCCTATCTATATGCCATACTTGAGATAAGTCATTCTTGAATTCAAAGCTTTTGAATTCAAGAGACATATTGATAAGTTAAGTTCATTTAAACTTATCAATACCCCCATCATGATTCCTATCATGATGTATCTTTCTGAAAATGATGCCAAGGCCTGACATCCATTTTCAAGTCTTATATTTCATATGTGAAAGATAGCAATCATAGCAATTCATCACATGGCAAGATATCAATTTGTAAGATTGCAATGTAAGCTCTAGATATCTTAACATGATGTAATTATGGCAATCATAGCATTTCATCATATGGCAAGATATCAACATTATAAAATTGTAATGTAAGCTCTAGATATCTTATCATTAATGCAAATATAGCTATCATAGCAATTCATTCTATCATTAATTTACCACATATTTCTCCCCCTTTATCATCAACAAAAAGGAAAACGATTCAAGCATATTTCAAGTATAGTAATAAGTGTGGTAAAGATTCATGTTATTTTTCAACCATCAGATATCATTCATATAAATTATTTTTCAAGCAATCATGGCATAATATTATTCAAAAGTCCATTAAGGAGATAGCTTTCATTACTTCTTCTTTATTTGTCATTAACGTTTGCATGAAGGAGGAAAGCCATTGTGAACTAACTTTGAATGAAGTTAAAAATGATAAGAGATTAAATCATGCTTCATTTTTACAAGAATCAAGATATACATGTGAAATTAAATTCTTGCAAGTGTTCATTTAAAAAAAAAAGTCTTCCTTCATCAAGAAGGAATTCATTTCATCAAATCCATTTATCGATTAAAAATCATTTTTCACGAGGTAAATCCATAAGTGATGCATTTGTTAATCAATTCCATATGTCAAAAATCATGGAGTATTAATATGAAATAAACTTGATATGACATAGGCTCATGAAAGTTCCATTCAAGAAATACATTTAATCTAGAAAAGAAATACAAAATCATGCATTGTTAGGATTAAGAAAGTCCAAAAATGAAGTTTAACAAATTCATGCATTCGGACAAAGTTTTGTCATAGCTTTTCAAACACAATCATGAAGGTAAAACATGTTTATCATCATGGAAATCAAGACACACAATTTCCAACATGTTATTGAAGCATATAGTCAAGTAAAATTCGTATTATAAAATTTTCAGCATTAAGTGATTGATCATAGAATAAAGAAAGTCCAAAAAACCAATTTAATAAGTTCATGTATTCGGACAAATTAACATTCCTAATTCTCTTATAATGAAATCAAACTATTTTTTACTTAAAGGCTTTGTAAAAATATTAGCTAGTTAATGTTTAGTATCAATGAACTCTATAATTACATCATGATTAGTGACATTATCTCATATAAAGTGATGTCTAATATCAATATACTTTATTCTTGAGTATTGAATGAGATTCTTTGCTAAGCATATTACACTTGTGTTATCACATTTAATGTGAATATTTTTAAGATGAACTTTATAATCTTCTAAGGTGTTTTTTATCTACACAACTTGTGCACAGCATGCACTAGCTGTAATATATTCAACTTCGGTTGTTGATAGTGCAATCGAGTTTTATTTTTTAGATGACCAGGAAACAAGGGCATGTCCTAAAAATTGATATATTCCTGATATGCTTTTTTTATCTAGTCTACACCTAGCAAAATCCGCATCAGCATAAGCAATTAGCTCAAAATTCTTGGATTTTGGATACCATAATCCTAGATTTGTGGTACCTTTAAGATATCTAAGTATTCTTTTAACTGCTTTGAGATGAGATATCTTAGGATTCGATTGAAACCTAGCACAAAGTCTTACACTGAACATGATATCTGGTCTAGTTGTAGTGAGGTAAAGTAAAC